ATGAGGAGTCTGGCCACTTCCTATTTCCCCGTGTTATATCAAAAACAGGACTGTAACAGCAGAGGGCGCCCGCGAGCTCAAAGGCTACACGCACGCACACGCAAGCCACTTCTTCTTCTGGGTAACAGTGGGAACTGGAGCCTATCCCAGCAGTCACTGGGCAGAAGGCAGGATACACCCTGGATAACAGTCCGTCGCAGGGCAGACAGACATGTACATGAACGCACACTCTCACACCTAGGGGCAATTTAGCATGTCCAACTGGCCTGACTGCACGACTTTGGACTGTGGGAGGGAGAACATGCAAACTCCACACAGAGAGGACCCAGGCCCTTCTTACTGTTAGGCGACAGCACTACCCACTGCACCACCTTGCTGCCACAGATGTAAACAAAAAGTTAAAATAGTTTTTAATCACTTACCCAAATCTTTCCTTTCATTTTGGGAAGTAGAAGGATGTATTTCACGAAAAAAACAAAGAAAACTTACCTATATATTTCCTTTTTTCTGCAGCATGTCATATTTGGAAGCATCATGTCAAAATTTGCTTATATCATTTAACAGCAGAAAATGAAGCTGAAACATAGCCCCCAGACTATTTTTTGAGAACACTTGAAGTTAAAATTCAGTAAAAGCCAGGCTTCACCGCTGATGTTAAAGTGGTGGCAGGATTGTTTTAATGTCTTTACGTTGTATTACGTTGTGGACTTTTTAAGGACCCATAAGGACCTACATTTTTCCCATGAGGTACACTTACACTTATGATGTTTACCTTTTGTTTTGTGCAGTGATGTAAGAAATTAAGTAATTTAAAAAGTAAAAGTAAAATTACTTGTGTAAAAATCCACTCAGTAAAAAGTAACTTGTTTAAAATGTACTTTGAGTAAAAGTTACTTACGTTTTTTTGTGGTTGGTGAGGTGCAGATATATGGTCCTCTAGGACCTTTCCCAGGCAATGCAGACAGAACAAGAGCACCTATAGTAATTATGTAGTCAAAATCATGATGCCGGGACTGAAGGCACCATTAATGCTCTCTCGTGGCTCTCTGCCCGCCGTCCTCGCCAGGGTTTGTCACCACTCTGAGCTTCCTAAATGACCTTGCGTTGGGGATTCAGCATTGACAAAAGCTTTTGAAGGCAGGCTCTTCAACAACAGAAAATTGATGAAGACCCTCACAAATAAAGTTGATAATAAGTTTGTTAACTGTCTGCTGTGGCAGATGTGTGGAAGCACCAACTCCAATCTCATCAGATATCTTTGTTTGCTTGCTTGGGACATTTGCTGGTTCATGGTCTCTTTCCAGGATTCGCTTTTGTGTTGCTACAAGGCCATTCTAGGCTTTCAGCTTTAATAGATGTTTCCTCCATAAACAAAAAGTTTCCATCAGTGTGAATAAATATAAGCAATGTCCCTTTTTCACATAGCTGTTTATTACATTCATACAAAACTTGATATTAGCATTTGAAAAAGCACATTCCTTGCTTACAGATATGCCTGAAGATGAAATCAACTGAAAAGATAGACAATAAATTATACTATTTACATTATAAACAACTGATCCTAACTCATTTTCATATTGTAATTTCTAAACATGATACACGAAGGGTGCACATACAACTTCCATTTTGTCTGATCATACATTACTGCCTGAAAGATATTGAGCAACATTATGATGCCACCTCATGTGGTAGATAGCCAAGCCACGTCATCTTTAGAACAGAAATGATAACAGAAGAAAACAATTAATTACTTTTGCTCCTTGAAGTTAACTTTTGCACTAAAAACATAACAAGTCAGTGTTAAAACAGGAAAAATTAGGTCGCAATGTTGATTCCCATCATTTGTACTCCTTCACAGCACAACATTGTGGAAGCTAATGTGTCTGGCATGGATGTAGCTTAAGTAAACAAAACTAGCTGGTGAGCTAACGTTTGCTAGTACACCAAGTTTATTTAAACACAAAATATTAATGATTTGCTACAAATACCCTGTGAACCAGGATCAGCAAAGCTACTGCCTATTGCTACAGGTAATTAACTTACCTGCTTGTGCAGGTTGGATGCAGAGTTTTATAAGTTGCTATCTCCACATTTTTGGGTAAATACTTAAGTAAAAGTAAAAATACAGTTTGTAAAAAGTACTCAAAAAAAGTGAAAGTACACAAAAATAACCTTCGTTCAAGTAACGACGATAACCGTAATTTGTTGCTTCTATCCCTCTTTTGTGTACCAAAAATGTAATCTTAATTAAATTTTACATTACCATTTTACCAATATACATACCTTAGATAATTTTTTTCTGGTGAAAAGTATATGTATGTTTCTGTTCATAACCTAATGTTTTAAAACAGAACAATAATATAAAAGCCTGGAGAAGGAGAAGACAGGGTGTGTGAAGTCCATACAACTTAGCAAATGTAATTTCAATGGATTATGGTGCTGCCTAATGGGTTTATATGAACTTGGGAATGAATTGTACATTTTGCATAATATGGGCCCTTTAAAATATTGCATGCTCTGTACAGTTCTGACCTTCTGGGCTACAAGAGGGCTACATGAAAGAACAAAGCCGCTTCTCAGATTGAGTCTCTTATGTAGATGTTTCTCTTCTGAACCAGAAGGTAGTTCAATGAAAACCATCTAATCATTAAAAGAAGGTGATTTTAATCTTATTTTATTTCAACATTTCAATATGACAATGACAGGCAGGTTACTCTTTATTCTTTGTTTAACCTTAAATCGTTTAAGAAAAATGAGGAATTTGTTCAGAAGACTGTCTGTTTACTGTACTGGGTGGAAAATCAAATCCCAGCCTGCTTGGTGGAGGACAGCAGTATTACCCACTGTGCCATTCAAACTACAGTCTAAAGATCAGAAGGGTGATGTAACTATTGCCCTTTCCCTTGCGTGATCACACACCATGTCTCACAAATCACAAATATTTTTAAAATAAATTCAAGGCCCTGGGCAAGACTATATTACATTTATATCTGTAACCTGATTAGACTGTACACTGCTAAAAGTGATAAAATTCTCAACCAAAGGCCATAAATGTAATGTAAAGTTTCACATTAAAAAAAAAAAAATTACTTAGATGAATAAACATATCAAAGTTGGAAGAATGACTACAAAAGTGCATCAGTGCATCTTGAAAGAACAAAACATTGCTCTCTCTACTGTTTTACATTAAAAAGAAGATAAAGTGTGGCCACATTTCATATGCAAAATAAGGGTTATCTTACAAATCTTACACAATGTAGCTGGAATATGACATACATGAAAAGCAAGCTAGTGGTAGAACAGTAAGTATTATGCTGCTGTGCCTTTACCAATGTCATGAGAAACCAATTAATACTTTCTGTACTTTCTACTACTAAATTTGCCTTGTGACATGAATACGAGAGAAAAAAATATTCTGCATATGTAGCATCCTTAACACTATTAAGGATATGAGGTCACTTAGATGATAAATATAACTCATGCTCCCCATGAAGTAACAAGCATATGAAATACCCATATGTCAGTGGAGATAAATGTTCTTAATGGGCTAAGTATACAAACAGAGAGCAATGACTACCACTGTTCAGTACTAAATAACAATACACTTGTATTGTACATTAATTAAGTCTTGCTTCAGTGATTATTTAGGTGCAGCTGGATAAGTTATATATTCTTTGTACTTCACCTAATGTTTGCCTAATGGTGGTTTTACAGGTAAAGTAAATGTTAGTTATCATGGGTTCATACAGGATTTGTGTATGTAGGGTTGCATAACACTGCAATCTTATGGACACTAAATGTTAAAAATATTCACATGCACAACAATGTAGGTCTATACATTTCCATAAAGATGGTGATGTGTTAAAGAAGCAGGGGGATGTTCCTTCCATTACCAAATGTATTCAATTCTAAATAAATAAGCAGTTTATTCATTTAGTAGGGTAAATGAAAGCATCAAGCCACTAACACTGCCAGATTTTAAAATGACAGCTTTTGCTTTGAATGTTAAGGAACTTGAACAAATCTCAAAACATGGAATGTACCTGTCTGCCACATAGTTCACCCACATATTCATTTTCTGGTGGTGTGATTAGTCTGCGGCACTCAAGTTGTTTACTAGTTGATTGGTGTTGTTTTGTCTCATTGTCCCATGCTGTGTGTACAATCTGTGGAACATGTTCTGCTAAGTGGAAAATATGTCGCTGGGAAGAAAGGCTCTGCTTAGTTTTTCTAAAACAGCACTAGTGATTGTCTAATCAGTGCCCACACACAAACACATTCTGATGAGGCTGAACATGTAAAAGAGGAAAACAGGAACAGACACCCATTTAATGGTAAAATTAGTTTTCTTCACTGGGCGTGTTCATAAAAGAGTACCATTTTAAAAATCCATAAACTTGCATAATTGTTGTAGTACAGCTATTTAACCAACAGAATGCCTTACCATTTATTTATTTATTTATTTATTTATTTATTTAAGGTGGACCTTTTAAACTCCTTGAGACCACCGGTGGTTCCAAAACGCACTTCGTCATATTCTTCATAACTTTAATATTTCATAAGCTACATAGTCTTCTTTCCAGTCAATTAGATGGGTAATGTAATTTTAAACCCTTATAATAGAAGAAGCTGAACTTGCAATTTTTTTGTCTACTGAAAGTTGAAGCATTTTTCAAAAATCTGGGCTATAAACTATAAACAGATGGTGTCTCTTCAGTGATCTGCCCTGTAAAAATTATTTTTATAAAAAATTACAAAGAGCGTCTAAGATTTTTGGCTTTAAGCAGTAAATTGTAAGCATACAGCAATATGTGTATGAGCATAAAACACATTTTCTGTTAATTTGAGGGGAACGTTTACAAAAAATAAATAAAATAAAAATTTACATTTATTTCATGCAGTTACTGAATAATTTGCCTTACGATTTGGTCATGTAAAGTCTGACACTAACTGACAAACAGGAAAAATATATAAATATATACATAAACAGAGACATAACCAGCTTTGAAAGTCATGCTGCCTTCATAAGTTGAAATGATATACATTCAGGCAAATAACTTTGCTAATATCTGTGTTTATTAAATACAAATTGTTAAATATAAACACTGGAATGCTCCACACTATCAGAAAAAATAAATATACAGATAAGATTTGGACTAAACTCAACAGAAAAACTGCAATCAAGGGAAAGCTGTACATGTAGCTGAGGATCTTTGGAGATTTCAGCAAATGGTGGTCTGTCTGTGGGATTTCACCATCACCACCTTCTGTTGCCTTGGATGTAGTTCTCTAATATCTTCATGAATAATGCAGTATCCTAGAATATTGATGTTAGTTAATGCAAAAGCAAACCTGTTGACGCAACTGAACTCATATATAGTAACTAAAATTTCAATTACAATGTCAAATGTGATCGATTAAAATAGATGCTGCACAAAAAAAAGATACAAGGTATTACAGGATATGTAGTTACGAAGACAATTTGTGTGTGCTGTCTTCGAGAAAACATTTGTTTGTTCGGTGCTTACCGGGTTTCTAGCGCGGCTGTCCTCCGAGTCGAGTCGTGCTTGTAGTGCAGTTTTTAGGACCTCCTGATAAAGATCATCGGGTTCGACGCGTTTAGGATTCAGAGCGGCCTCGATAGCGCTCATCGTAGCATCATCTTCGGGCGGTAACAGTGCGCTGTCTACAACGCTTTTCTTCCCCATAAAGTGACCTGTAAAGAAGAGCTTTTTGAACTGTGCGTCGAGTGGTGAACTGAGACACCGATGATAGTTGTTGAATCAAAATGTTTCTAAAAGAGCATGAACCACTTCAGAGCGCAGAGCTCCGTCTGGACTGCCACAGTGTTGAAGTATTAACGATGGAGACAATAACGCAGACGTCTACCTGCTGTGAAATCTTACCTGTCGCCCATAGATTTCCCCTTGGATTGACTTTGATCTTTGCTACTTTGTTCCTTAGCTCAGTCAAATCTAGGCTAACTGAAGATGTTAAGGAGATATAGGGAAACAGCACGAGATATGTGAAGAATCCAAACTGGCAAAATCTGTGTAAAATAAAAGTGGACATTTCTAAACAACGTCGATTCAAGATAATAATAATAATAATAATAATAATAATAATAATAATAATAATGAATTTCCTTTATGTAAAAAGCAATCGTGATGGTCTCAATTACTTCCCAAGTGTCAGTGTTTCAGACGCACAACCTTGTCTTTATATGACGCTGTCGGTGGGGTGGGCTGGATTTCATTCTTGCGTAGAAAGGTCAGTCATTTCTCGCTCTCGCCAGACATTCACTCTGCGCTCATCTACAGCCAAAAGTGCCGTGTCAGTGTTGTTATGACAGTGTCCTAAAGAAATTTTCCTTGAAATTTTCCATAAGACCTTCTTAGCTTTATGAAATGTCTGTACACGTATCAGAACCATGGACAACACCCACATTCGGGACTACACTGCCAGAAAACTACATCCACCAATTCTAACGACTAGACAAGTATCTCATAGAGATGGTTCTCACTCTTCCACGTGTATGCCCCTTTATGTTTCATCGCTGCCACAAGACGTTCTTTTGTGTTGATTTATTTGGAGAAATGGCAGTCTTTCGTGATGAATTGCTTAAAGACCAATTGGCATGATTAATGCACATAATAACTGAGCCGAGCTTGCTTTCATTAACTACTGGCAACTTTTTGGAGGTATTATGACATACATGAAAAGCAAGCTAGTGGTAGAACAGTAAGTATTATGCTGCTGTGCCTTTACCAATGTCATGAGAAACCAATTAATACTTTCTGTACTTTCTACTACTAAATTTGCCTTGTGACATGAATACAAGAGAAAAAAATATTCTGCATATGTAACATCCTTAACACTGTGTCATATTAAGGATATGAGGTCACTTAGATGATAAATATAACTCATGCTCCCCATGAAGTAACAAGCATATGAAATACCCATTTCATAAAATTATGAAATACCCTTTTGGAAGCCTAAAAATTTCACTCTTCATTGAATAACCTTATCTCTCAATTGAAACGTCTTCCACTCCATTCACATTTCTCTTAAGAGATGTAGATATGGCAGTTGGGCCACAATAACACAACATGGTTTACTCATGGCGTGTAACACAAGTGCACGGTTTCAGATGGCTTTTGGCAGAGCATTTGTCAAACACATGTAGCACTTCTCTGTTTGTAAGAGCAAACTGATTTCCTCATGCTCTTAACAAACGTGACCAGTGGCGTCTCTACAATAGGGGCAGATGTAGCTGTGGAGCAGTGCGTGACATAATCAATAATTCAGGATAAAAAATATATATATATATATATATATATATATATATATATATATATATGGCCTACTGGTATTTACACAACATATACATATATGGTGAGTCATCTTGCATTATTACAAGGCATGTTATTTCTAATGCTTGAAAAGCAATGTGTTTCCTCAATGTTACCACAATGATTCTATACTGCTAGATAACTTTAAATTTGTAATGTGATGCTGTATAACAAGGTTTTGCATGGTCTAATGTCATTATCATATCACTCATATTCCTGTCTCCACTTTACGCACCACGTTACATTAATTTGTGAATTTGTGATTTCATTGATGGAGTGTGTTTATGTTTGGATCAGGTTTGTGTGTGGTTTCATTGGCAAGTCAGCTGCCCCTACAGTTTATTGTGCCCCACTAGGATTTCTGTGGCAGAGACACCACTGAACGTGACTAATTTGTTGCTGATGCAATACTGAGTAAAAAGGACAAAAGGGATGCATCTTCTTTAATTGTAGTACAGCAAAAATATTAAGTCAAAACTGTCATATAATCAAGTACAGACAAAAATATTACTTACAGAAGTGGAATATTTTATTGCACTTTACTCTTACTGAGCTATGCTAACCAGCTCTCCTTCAACTCTGCATTTGAAACTTGCGGAGCTAAGTGCGGACATTAGACAAGCAGAAAAAAACAAGACTTGTTCTAGCCCTCACCCCTGTCATTTTAACATTTAAACAACATTTAATGTGTGAGAACGTAGCACAGTCATGATTCACGCTATGTAACGCAAAAAGTGATAAATTTCAAGTGCTTTTAATCAACACTTGCATTAGCACTTACTGATTTTGGGAATCCGAAAGGATGGGATCATTCTCATCCCAGTGATTCCCCTTCAAGAATGGCAACACCTTCTCTTACATACTGGTCAGAGGAGAGTTTATACTATAAATGGTCACAGTTTGCAGGGTCCAGAATTAAATGTCCTGCAAATTTCCAAGATGCTCTTAAAGGAAGTTAGAATGAGCCACTTGGAATTAATATGTTTTTGTATATTTCATGATTGTGTCTCTAAGGATGTCATTTACATTTAATCCTTAATGGGATTGTAGTGTTGCATCACCAGAAAACACTTTTGTGCCTTGCACGCCTGGTAATTTTGCTCTTTGACACATAATGTTCTCAGTACATCAGAGGCCTTGTGTCACTAACTCAAAGTGTGGCCTGGATATGTTTATCAGGTTAATAACAGCTTTTGATTTTACACAAAAGGCCTAATTCAAATAACTCCAAAATTACTACGTTACCCCAGTGCTTACCACACTGAATAAACAGTATCATATTGAAAATTATGCTTATCATAAATGAGACTTTCAAATTTCCTGGAGACCTCACACATGGTGAAGGAAATGATAAACAAACACAAACAATAATGTAACATACGTTAAAAGTGATATGTTTTATGAGTCACGTCTGGAGACAAAGTCATGGCTTCCCTCCACAGCTGTCAGTGTTTACCTGGAATTGTGAGGCACTAATCAGTAGCCTTCATATAAAATCAAGGACTCACATATGAATGTATTTATCTGTGAAAACTCGAAGAAACTAGAAGAAATAAACATTAATGTTCACACTAAAACATTGTGCTGATCATATAATTGACAGACTTTGTAAAGAGGCCAGCTACAGTAGAAGTTTTTACATTTGGGAAATAGTCTACAGGATTGTAGTAATGGGTACAGTAATGATGTCGGAAACTTTTTCAGATATCCTGAATTGCAAGATTGAAGAGAAAGAGTCAATGAATGCCTTTTGCCCCATTCAATTCAGATTCTTTAAATTCATCAATTCAACAATATTCTGATTATTACCATTTTGATTATTAAGCATGTACAAAATACATAATGACATCATAATCGTGTACAATAATCATGTACAAATAGTTCAAATAGTTTTAAAGATTTTGTTTTGAGGAACAAAATCAAAAGTCTAGTCTAGTCCTAATTGTGTAATAATCCATAGGACTACAAACCAGAGTCTCAGTGGAAGCTACTGATAAAATGTCACAGCTCAAGAGCTGAACTGACTGTACTACAAACATGATCCTTCTACAAGATGTCCTGTACCAGAGGCAGATGTTGACCTGGAAGTTCATTTTAAAAGCAGTATGTAAGCTATAAGACGGCTATTGCTTTTGAGCATTTGGCAATCACAGCAGGAGGTGAGGGAATGAAATTGTTTCCTGACTATTTGGAGTGCTCCACACATGAGAAACATGACTTGAAAAGAATGAAACTACCATATATGTGCAGTTAGACACTCAATATCACAAAATACACTCAATGATGCAAGATAACACTCATTTCACCTAAAACTTTCTTTCTGCTATCAGAATCAGCAGTGGTCACCAACATAGCACAACTCATAATCCATAGTACTTTTTTATCAATGGGTCCAGACTTCTATTACACACTGTAATAGTTTAAGAGTAGTTCATCCATTTTGCATCATAGTCCATGCAGTTATTGAATAATGAGGCTTAGGACATTATACACTTAGGATTTTAAGGGGTTAATCCTTTATCAAATGTGTAACCTGCTGGCTTAATCTCATGTAATGTGTCACAAATTCTACTGACACCTGTTTCTGTATAATTACTTCCTGGTTTTGTGTTTGTCTTTGGGAAGTCTTTGTTGACTTTATTTGTGAAATAGCCTTCCAGATCAAGATATTGTGTTTTTCAGTTTGAGTTCTGTGTATATGTCTGTTTGTTCTATGTCTGCTCTATGTCTGTTTGATTAGTGTTTATGTGCTCAAATTTTGTCTGTGCAAGGACACACTTGTTTATAGACTGTAGTGCCTGCATCCTTTTTGAGTTAACAGAGAGTCAGGGAGTTGATCCATTGCCATCATCTTGCTATCACAATGACCATCTAAATGTATAGACACCTTCCCTCTGGAGAAAAAGTTCAGAACTAAATGCTGATATTTGTTCACAGCTTGAGACGCATAATTACACCCATTCTTTGACACCTGCTCTGGAGCCATAGAGGCATGCTAAGTTGGTCAAGAAAAACACTAGTGAGAAGCAAATCTTCTGACCTCATTGTGTCATTCACTTTGTCTCTGGGGAGGCCTACTGTTGGACAGTTGTTGAGGGTTAAGTAATTGCCTGGGGAGAATTTTCATTATGAATTTATTATAACAGGTCAATTTTTCAATTCAAACAGTTTTAGTCAATCCTTTTCATTATGAAGCGTTGTCATGTTCATTTGTGCTAAAATCCACCTGTGTCAGTTTAGGACAAATAAAATAGACTTCTTATAGAATAGACACTGCATCAAGATTTTTGTTTCGAAGTTTTGTATCACTATCCTCTTGGGTATCTTAGTGGTCCAAGTTAGGATTCGGTATTGTTTAAAATACTGTGATACTGATACAGATGTCTTGACTTAAATATGGATTCCTGAATGTTACTTTTTCAGTTTTGGTTTTCCTTCTTTAAATTGAGCCCTTGCAACAAAAAACAGTATATGTGACATTTTTTTGTAAAAACAATATATGCATGGTGTGGCATTGCTTGATACCCTCTAAAACACAAAAAGCATAGTTTGGCTTTTTAAGGTAAAGGGTTGTACAAAATAATTTAGAAAACAAAATAACTGATAATCCAAAAAAGGGTGAAATGGTTGTGTGGCATAAACTAGAAATGAGTGTGAGGTGCTGGAATTGGTAATATTTACTGGATCAAGAAGCACGACATTAATTACATGTGTAGTTTAGAGTAGTTAATGACAAGGATTTTTTTCAGTTACTGTAATTATTCAGTAGTATTTGATACCTAGTCCTAATAAATTGAAGAGGGCACAATGTATTTCTGGTTTATA